TACAAATTTGTGCAACTTTGACAAAGACTAAATTGTGATGGCACAATGTTTGGGTCTCGTGGGATGATMCTGGTCAGCATTGATCAGAACCCATCAAATTGGTCCAACAAAGGAAAAAGTGACAAATCAGCGACAAGGTCACGGAAGTTCATGGCTTAATGATGCAAGTGGGAGAAAAATCTGGCCTGTASAGTTCAAGGTACCATAGCTCAAAGTTCTAATAAAGTTGATGCCRGTTCTGAGAGAAAATAGTCAAACACACAGTTCACCATAGGTTGTTGCGTAACTCATTAAATGTACCAGTAAATAAAAAACTGCGTATCCTTATGCCCTATAAAATTCATTTTATTTTTCCCCAAATTTTGTTTTTCCGTTTTAATTTCTTATTCTGCTTTTTCATTTTTTTCTGGATTCCATATTTTCATTCTAACCATATTCATTAACATACAAAGTGTGTAATTATAAAGTGGCTGAAATACAATTCAACAAATGAATAGACACATGATTCAAAATTGAATGGCAGTTATGTGGCTGAGTGTTGAAGAGTTGGCAGGCATTTCTGTCTCGCTGTAGCTTGCTTCTTCTTCATTTCCAATGTGAGTCTTTGACTATATGGTCATCACATATATTTTTACCCCTTCAGCTGATCGTTATGTTCATGTAACCAGGTAACAGCAGGTACAGGGAGCGGCAGCGGATAAGATACCTCAGAAACTCGCCTGGAGGAGCAAATTCCATGAGTTTTTGCGTTTTATATTAGATTCCATTTTGTTTGGTRAATTCYGCAATTCTGTTTGGGTTTTCCGCATCAAGGAAATCCTTTTATGTGTGAACCATTGTGTCCTGTCTAGTTTAGATTTTTTTAAGCATGAATAACACAAGTTAGCACAAAAGCATATCTGGTGCTCCCTCTCAGACAAACACTCGTTATAAAAAGGATTTCATTTCATAATCACCAWCTGTAAATTCCAGTATTTGTCTCATCTTCCCTGATGCTCTGCTTGGCAATGAACCATTTATTAATATGGTTCAACAGCTGATGGCTSTTAGTCTGATAAATCTACATGTATGCAGGTGCCAGGCCACACATACAGCAGAAGTACTTTTTAATCATATCCATATACTGCAATATAAATGATGTCCTAATCTTCACATGTCGTCAGCTTTTCTTTTTTTTTTCTGGCTGATGAGTTGTGTGGTTTCATCTCACTGATTGTGTTTGTGCTTTTGTTTTCTTTTCATTTGCAACTGAGCAAAGCATCCTCCGCTGTCAGCTCCAGAAATGTAAAGTGTCATTTATAGAAACACCATAACATAACAATTGTTTATTTTTCTTAAGATAATCTAATTCTGCATTTTCATGTTTAGTTTCTTTTTGTACTCATCGTTTTTAGTACCGTACTCATTGGGCATGATTGCCTACCCAGTTTTTAGTGAGACAATAGTGTTGGAATTCGTTTCAATTCAGTTCGATTCAACACAATTTGATTAGTTTGTTTAGATTTATTTTTTTGTGTACAATGCCCCGAGACAGCGTTTGTTCTGAACTGACGCTGAATTGAATTGAATTGGAAAATTCAGTATTAAATGTCCTTTTATACTTATAATATCTGCATTTATTGTTTTCAAAGCCTCCAAAGTTTGGTGAGCTTTTGAGCTACAATAAATTCCTTCTAGGGAACCTGGATATAAATGATGTTTGTGGTACATGCTTGCTTTCCTCTCTCTTTCTGAATATTCAGCTCTCCTGTAATGTGTGCATTAAGTCTGTATATTTGTGCATGAAGCTCTACAGAGAATGGCCCCAAGTTCAGCACATTTGAAACCTCTCAAGAGGATTGATAACCAGTGAAGCTGTGTCCTGTGTGTGTTTTTATGCACATGCCTATGCGCAGCACAAAGACTTTAGACCTTTATTAAATAACCTCTTCAGCTTAACTAAGACCTCATTGTAAGTCTGAGTGTTGGAACAATAATATGAGATAATTAGCACTCTGACAAGAGCCAATGAGAGCGGTCCTTTAGAACAACAGGGCTGGTTAAATCATGCAAWACTTGATCAAATGCACGCACACAAACAACACCTTCATCTGCTGCYTGTGTCAAGAGCCTGCATCAAGGGCTAGTTCATTCAAGTGTCCTTCATATCTTTTATAAATGCTAATGAACTGCTTCGCAAGCTCCGGTAGCGTGTTTTCGCAGTTGTTTACAAACAATATTAATTCAGGGCATGCAGGAGTAATAAATAGCATTACTTGACTTCTGTTGAAATGAGTACTAGTCATGGGGACAAAATATTTATGTTGTTTTAATATTTATTGCAGGATTTTTGTTCTTAGTTTGATGGTCTTTCTAAGAATTTGGTGAGATTGGATTATTTCATGTGCTCTTGTGAAATTATATATATAC